ATATATATATATATATATATATATATATATATATATATATATACATATATAGGTTACAGAAGAAGCGATATTAAATTTAAAAGCATATAGCAGGGCATTGGATACAGCTATGATACAATATCATGAAGAGCGTATGGCCACAATTAATAGAATCATGAAACAAATGTGGAAGCTTATATATACTGGGAAAGATACAACGTCCATAGAAATTCGTACGGATGCTACTGAAGGGATAGGTAGCACAAGAAGAACATACAATTACAAATTAATTCAAACAAAACATGGTCATGAAATAGATATGAGAGGTCGCTGTAGTGCTGGTCAAAAAGTAATTTTTAATTTATAGCAATGATGATAGTAAAATATTAGATTTTATTATTTGTATATGATTTAATTCTAGGTTTTAGCGTCGATAATTATAAGACTCGCTTTAGCAGAAACATTTTGTAAAGATTGTGGAATTCTTGCGCTGGATGAACCAACAACAAGTTTGGATCAAGCAAATGCTGATAGTCTAGCAAATGCATTGGCTACGTATGTTTCGACAAATTAAAATTATTTTTTATTAAAATTATCTTCATTTTGTAATTTGAAATTTTAATACGTTTTATTTCTGTGTTAAAGGGTTGTTAAATTGCGATCACAACATCAGAAAAATTTTCAGCTAATTGTAATTAGTCATGATGAAAAATTTTTGTTTAAGTTAGCTGAATTAAACAGTAATAAAGGATTTTATCAACTTTATCGTAAACAAAAGTATGTCTATAATAAATACGTATTATGCATACACATATGTACATATACTATATTTTACTTGCTAAAGACAATTACAATTTGTATTTTTAGCGGTTATACAGCTGTTAGACACTGTTTGGTGGACAATCAAGATCATTTTGTATTAGACGATATAAAACAAGAATCTGACGAAGAGGTATCTTCTAATGAAGAAAATGAAGAACATTCCATGTCACAAAGTGAATCACACGAAACGGCTTTACAAAAACAAGCGCATAATGATCAAACAAAAAAACGAAGAAAAATTTCGGATGACGATGAGAATTCTGTTGAAAGTAGAGTATCGAAAAAAAGATACGTCTTCCAATAAATTACATTTATTATTTGTATAAGAAAAAAAAATAAAATTAAAGCTTATTTTCTACAAATATAATTTCTGCTATTATAGACATGTGAAAAAAATATTTAATATATTAATCTCTGTTTCTTATGTTGTCCCTCTGTTCCTTATATTATTTCTTATTGGATAATACTATAGTAATTTAGTTGAGAGATAAAACTTTCAAATGTTGCCGCATTTTTAGTCAAATGTAAATATCGAATATTGAATCGATTTTAACAATCGAGATTTGATCATACTCGGTCGATAAAAGAGACGAAGAACAGGTGACGACATCGTTGTCATACTCGTGATTTCATAACACGCCATTTTCTTTGTGTGAAGTACTGGCTGAGAAATTTCTCCTACTGTTTTCTAGCTAATTCGGGGTAACGTAATTCATAATTGTTATTTTATTATTTCGTTGATTGTTATTCACATTTTTCTATAAACGTCATTTATGTTTTTTAGATCACTTATTTAATCCTGATGCTTAATCTCAATTGTCGTGATCGCGTGTTGACAGGTTTTCAAGCATCGTAGTTAAACGGATTCTATTTTGTGTCTATCTAAATACGTATATCTTCATTTTATCGTATCTCCTTTTATATTTACACGGTGTCTTGTATTTTTATTATAATATCCTTCAAACATTGTAGACGTTAACCGCCAAAAACAACGTATTTGGAATATCTATGCCAATGATTTTTTTCAAGTAATGTACATACGTCATTCCAAGGGGAGTACTTTTCCCATTCACGTTCAATGATTCACTAAAAAAAAAAATCATCTGTCCGTGACATTCGGATTAATGTTCTGCGTTCCCATTGTTTTATAGTACGATTTCATATTCGTAGCTGTTGCGTACTAATGGGATATTAATTCAAGATTAAAAAAATAACCGTCTTACAAAATATTAAATTTATAATTCTAATTTTAAAAAGGTATTGCATTATTTTTTTTATAGTATGAATTCTTTTCGTGTAATTGAACTTCATATTTATTCATGTTAAAAAGGATTAAGCATTCTTTCAACTAGCTGATAATAAATTAATTCAACATGCCAATTTCATTATTTATATTTCATTCTTATCTGAGTTGTTTGTACATATGGCACATGTATGTTTGATTACAAATGTTTTGATTCTGATTCATAATTAATATATTTGAATAATATCTTTATAGAATGTTTTTCAAATGAAACATTTTAATGTTATGATTGAGCTTCGATTTATCATAGTTTTTAGTAACATTCTAAATGTTATTGGTAAAATTTCTATTTTAATTAAATTTACTAATAAAATTCATAGCAAACGTTTTTGTTTTTTTTTATTTTTAGTTCACGATGGCTTCTCATAAAAAACTATTGCTTAAGGTCATTATCCTTGGAGATTCAGGAGTTGGTAAAACTTCTCTTATGAATCAGTATGTAAGCAAGAAATTTAGTAATCAATATAAAGCAACTATAGGTGCAGATTTTCTTACCAAAGAAGTAATGGTAGATGATAGGATAGTTACTATGCAGGTAAGAGTATGTGTTAAATAAATTAATATTCTTATAATATTATACTTATTTCTTGCCTTATTTATATTATACTTTTTCTATTTTAAATAGATTTGGGATACAGCTGGCCAAGAAAGGTTTCAATCTTTAGGTGTTGCTTTCTACAGAGGTGCTGATTGTTGTGTACTTGTATTTGATGTTTCTGCACCAAGTAGCTTTAAATCTTTAGACTCGTGGAGAGATGAATTCTTGATCCAAGCTTCTCCTAGGGATCCAGATAATTTCCCATTTGTTGTACTTGGAAATAAAGTTGATTTGGAATCCAAAGTGGTAAGAGTATTTTAGATTTGTTTAGATTAATATATATTTTGATTTAACATTACTTCTTTTTTATTTAGACATTTATATTTATTTTAATTTGAGGTTCAAACTTGTAATTTCATTAATAAATACATTTTCAGATTCATGGTAAGAAAGCACAACAGTGGTGTCAATCTAAAAATAATATTCCATATTTTGAAACCAGTGCTAAAGAGGCTATCAATGTTGAACAAGCTTTCCAAACGATAGCAAAGAATGCTTTAGCTCAAGAAAGTGAGGTATGTCATACTTTTCTTATATTTATCTGTTTATAATTAGCAGATATTAAAATATAACAAATGATGCTATTATTTTAGGTGGAATTATATAACGAATTCCCAGACCAAATTAAATTGACCAATGACCAAAGGAATAATGGCAAGGGTGATTCTTGTGCCTGCTAGGTCTTGGAGTGGTGAAAATTTTGGACAAGCACGTAGATGCACAGGTCAGATCGTACATTCGCGTACCTGCGCATTTAAAGAAATACTACATCGAGCTTGATGTATTTTAGAAGTCTTAAGTATGCACCTTGGTTTTTTTTGCCTAGATTTCATTCAAAATACTTTTAAAGCATATTTATAATGTTGGAAAATGTTTTTTATTGGAATTATGTGAGATATCGGAAAATAAAAAATGTGTATATATAGGGAAGTTTATAAGCAATGCATTTTAAACAATAAAATTAGACAAATTTTGTACCAAGGGGCATCCATTTGACTTCTTTACATGAAAGACATATGTTGTATTTTATATCGTGTGTTTGCGTTGATACTTGGCTCGTCAAGCAATACGTTCAACACATTATTTCCGATAATTGTAATGCTCTCTTATTGGGTATGGCGAACAGTATGAGCTGCCCTTTTTAATTGCATCTTTATAGCTCATTGTCAATGTCCTTCATTGTGGAGTAACATTACGATGTTTTCGAATCACATAGGTATAATTTATCGGGAGGAAAATTCACGGTTCGGGAACACATCTAGCATAACAATTAGATCATCACAAGTTTGCTCATAATTCATTAAGTATAATCGCATTTATTGAGGAGCTCTAAAAAAATTTTTGTGAGTTCAAGTTTTGTGAGTTTTATCAGTTCTCACTTAACTTCTTGTCAAATTAAGTGGAAATTATTGTATAATTGATACATTACAGATACAACAGAAATTTTTTTATTAAAATTTTGCGATTATTTAACTACCTCTGAATTTAATTAGCAATGTAAATCTTAGTAAATATTATGTCGCTCGAGATATTGCGATTTCCCAAGAACAATAAATACATTGTTCACATAAATTTGAATAAATGTGGATTTGTTTAATAACATCACAATGTATCTGTTATGAAATTTCACGATTGTCTCAATCTTAAAAGGCTAGTGCGTTTTCGAGGAAAAAAATTCCCTTTTTAAAAACAACTCAATAGTTGAATAACTTCTTATTTGGTATTCTCGATGCGCCCACAATACTTGCATACTAGTATTTTTGTGTATCTTTAAATTCCTCCCTAAAGTGAGAGTCCTGAGCCGCGCTGCAATGATTTTTAAAAGTTTTAATTCTATGGAGAGTATCCAGGTGCAGTCATAAATTTTATAAAACATTGTTTAAAAAGACATTTTTATATTAAACATATCATGCAATATATAGATAACATTTGACGAATTATTTTTAAAAATTATAAATTTTTACTTTTTTCCCTTTACATTTAATGCTATAGCATACATAATATTCTCATGATCATTTATCTGCTTAAAAAAAATTCTAATAATAATTAAAGGGCAGTTTTATTGAATGTGTGAACAGTTTCTTTTTTTAAATCAAATTTTTGTAAAGAAAATATATTTTTTGTATATTATATTAACTTTCTATATTCTGTTGAATTAGTATGTTTATGTAAAAGGAAAAAAAAGAAAAAGGGAATTTATAAAAATGATGTTATTTAATATAACAAAAATTATGCGACGCGGTGCTGGCGATCACTTTCGTATTTAAAAAAAAAATATATATATATATATATAATTTTAGATGTAAGTCTCCATCCTGAAAAATGTAGAGCAAGAGATTGCGTGAGCTGAATTGATACATACATATAAGATTTCTTATGAGAAGGTTTAGTACGTGAAATATATGTGTACATTTATGATAATAATATAACGTACTAGGAATATGTATCATCATATATGTACGCATATACACGTAATATATATGTATATAAATGATGGTCATGACGATTACAATTATAATTATTAATATAATTTTATCAAAATATGTTAACGATAGTTATTATAAATATTATCATTATTGCTGCTGCTGCTGCTGCTATAAAATTACTATTGCTATTCTTAGTTTTAAGTGAACTAAAACAAAAAAAAAGAAGAAGAAATACATTTATTGCAACAAAATCATGAGCTGGTCGAATTAATTCGCTGATATATCTGTGCTACGGATAATCATCGTGTGACCTGAAACAAAATATAAGACTATCATTATCCCTATTATGGCTCGATGTCTATGTTGTTATTATGAAGATGAATGTCTGTTGAGATAGATAGTAAATTTAGTAAACCCTGTACGAAATAGTATATAAGACTAAAATATAATTCAGCATAACATTAATTTAATAATTAAAAGATAATGGCAAAAAAAGGCTATTTCCAAGTAAAAGGATAGCCAGTAACACAGTGTAGTTTTATTCGAGAGTTTTAACACGTTATGTTTCAACTGATGTAAATTAAACTCCTTGTACGATTGTAAAAAAGTATTCGTTTTTACATAATGCAATTTTATCTTTCCTTTGAACCAACTATTTATTTAAAAAATATACATATGATGCACGTATGTGTATATAATATATGAATATATATGAATGTTGAACCATCTATGAGTAGATTATAAAATGCGCATAGAATATTTTATATTGATGTCATGTACGATATTACACGGCCTTTGTTAAGTTTTAAACAAATTTTTACGATTAATGTCAAATATACACATACATATACACATACATATATACACACACCTTTATAGAGAATATATTACATTCATTTACAGATAAAATATAATATAAAATAGAGATGTCTCTTGAAAAAATTGGAAAATAATTTTATTCTTTTCACGAAATTTAATGTAAGCCTGGATACCATAACAAAGAGTTACAGGATTTGTTATCTATATATACGATACAAAGAAAATTGCAAGATTGTTATTCATATAACGAAAATTGTTGTTCATATAATGAAAGAAAAAAAAGAAAAAAATATTAAGGCAATTTTAAATTTATATATAAGTAAAGAATTGAACAATCAAGTCGTATAAGTTTGTGAAATAAGTATTTATGTTTTATTCAGCAGAAAAAAACGTTATTGATTCAAAATAAAATCTTGCAAAATGTAAGTTATATAAATTTCAAAACAAAATTTTTAATTAATATTAGATTTATTCCACTAGAAACTTTTAACATTTCAAAAATATAATTCTTTTATTTTAAGAATTATTTTATTGATTTATGTTATTAATTTTTTTGAATCAAATGTTATATAAACCTTAAAACAGTAAATTTATGTATATTTTCTGATAGAAATAATTTTGATCTATTGTGATTTAGAAGTAGTTTAAGTAAAGATATATTTAAACGGTAAAATTTTATTCTATAAAATTTGGTAAAAATTCTCTCAACAGATAATATAAGTGTTTATATTTATACTTTTATCATTTAGTAATAGTAAATTTCCTTAAATTAATTTTTTTCAATGCTCAAATTTAATTTTGATTCTAATTTTTCTTGATACCCCTTTTTAATCATATGTTGTGTTATTTACTTAATATTTTTTAATATAAGACAAAATTTAATAAGGACAAAAATAAATGATTTTTAATTATACTAATCATCACATATATAATACGATTGCATTATTAATACATGTTATGATCTTTATGATTTATTGACAATTTCCATTACGAAATTTCATCAATCACGTATATTAAAATATTAAAAATATATTTGTGAAAAATTCACGATTAAAACAAGGTATATACTATTATATACTCAATCCTGACGATTAAACAAATAGTAACAATCAAACATAGAATATCTTTACTGCCATTGGGTAACAATATTTCAGACGGCGTTTTTCAGAATTAGTAAAGCAATAACCTCTTCATGCACATATGGAACTACTGACAATATGTATAATATATAATATGCTAATAAAATTTTTATTAGCTATACAAATAGAAAATTTAATGATTTGTAAGTCATAAATAAATTTTGTTACTTGGTAAATGCATGTAAAGTTTGTTTTAATTACAGTAGTTTAAAAAAATTAATTAAATTAAAATTTAAGAATTTAAAATATTTTATAATATCAGAATATTTGGTTTCTTGCTATACATGATATTAAAATTTGTTTATCATCTACATTAATATGAAACAGTTATTTTTATTGTGTTATGACAAACAAACGATTTGCTATATGTATAGTATATATGTGCATATGTATCCATAATAGAATGGATAGTACTTTACTTTAAATTTTACAATAAATATATAAATTTTACAATTGTTTTAGTTATTATGGCACAAAACATTATTATAAAAATATATATATAATTATTCATAAGTACTTTGATTCTAAATAAACTTCATATGTATATCAGCCATCAAATTTTATGATAATAATAGTTATAATAAAGAAAAATAAAAACTTGTTTATTTGTCTGAATAGTTTATATTTGTATAAACTATAACTTTATATTATTGCATAAATATAATAATTTGTAAAAATTAACAGAATTGAAATATGTATTATGATTTATTGTTTTTTAATTTAGTACATAAATATTCAAGTGAATATAAGTTTATTTGTATTATATATTTTTTTAAATATTTGAATATGTAAGTCATAATAAAATAGAATATAATTGTTTTAGATTGGTAGGTAGAAAAAAAAATGACAGTGAAATTCATTTATATATATGCATATATTAATACATTACAAATATACTACAAAAGTATTACATAATGAAAACATAAGATAATTGCTTTAATTTTGTCATAATTTCTAATTTTCTTATGATATAATATTTTTAATTTCTAATCTTTCTATAATTGGAAATGTCAACAAAATATAAATATGTTACTATTCTTTTTCATAAAAGAATGCATAACATACAAGATACTATATAAGTATCAGAATGAGTAATTCAATATGGTATTTTGGAAATGAAGCTTTAATTTATTCAGAAATATAAATTTCATTTTATATTTAACAAATTTAATTTGTGATTCAGTATTCAATGAATTTAATGCTAAGATTGACTTCTTTCAGTTTTTAAGGCAATCAACTGCAGCATATATAGCTTTAGTGGATGCACTTTGAACTTCATTATTGGCTCTAGCATTGCAAGAAGATTGTTCTAAAAGTAATGCATTTTTCTGCGAATTTGCTTGATTTGTTAATAGTGAAGCTCTTTGCTGGTATTGACGAATGTCTGGATTGATAATTGCTAGTTTTAGGACTATACAGTTTGCCATTTGTTCAGGATTAGAAGAACTCATGCATTGTAAAGCAATTTGATCTAATTGATTTTTTAATTTCTGTCCATTCTGAAAGTACGAGTTACAATGTATTAATAGTTAATTAATAATAATAGTTAATTAATAATAAGTTAATAAATAATAATGAATAATAATTAATAAAATATTTAAATATGTAAGTATTCACTATTTGATCTGATCATTTAATATGAAAATATGATACATACTGCTTGCTCGTTGTCAAATGTTTGTGATATTGTTCCTAATTTTTTATTTGCTGCTTGTTCACACGATTTAACTTCGCTATACCCTGTTTGAGCGGCAGCTTTCATATCTTTTGTAACGATATTTAAACAATCATCAGCATCTTTACCCGACTCTTTTGCTTCTTGTGATTTTTCCTAGTAATAATCATTAACATTAATCGTTTAATTAATAATTTTAAATTTTCGTAAAGTTAATTTTGCGTAACTTGAAAATCGGCAGTTAATTGTTATTGATTTTCATTAATTTTTATTTTTTTTAAGAGCTGAAAATGATTGTACGAAAAATTAACTTTACGATAGTAAAAAGCTTCAATTGATAATGTCTGTTATATAAAAAATTAATTCTTTTTCTTATATAAATGTGAAAGAATAGATGAATTCCATCAGGTTTCCAAGTTTATCATGTAATAAAACAAATATTATTTTGTCAAAGATTATAATTTACCTTGATATAATTAAGGCGAGTATTTAGAACCTCATTTATTCTACTATTGCCTGCGATATAATAATTGGTAATTTCAGATTGTGCTTTTAAGTTGATATTCGTTTTAGAGTGTCTCAGATCTAACATAACGGTATCAACAGAGTTTTTAGCATTTTTTATAGCTTTAAGTACTTGATCCAACACGTTGTTAGGAAATCTCTGTAAGATTAAAATTTAATGAAGTACACGATAATTGACTAATAAATTTCGCCAATTAATCATTAATCAGTGGACATTTAATGCAAATTAAAAAAATAAAACAGTGAGTTGCCCTTGTAAATATTACAATGCATATAGATATGCATTATAATATTTTAATGCATTTAGATGTATTTTATGTTTTTGCATATTATGTATTAATTTTTCATAAATGTTTGAAAATTAGTAATCCGTCAATTCTCTCTTACCTGTGCAGCACAGAAAGTTACAAACAATAAGCAAAGAAAAACGAGCGATTTCATGTTGTTTCTGCGAAGAAAAAATTTCAATCCACTTGGTCTATCACGTCTTCGCGAACTGATAACGACGAACGGGCACTCTTGCCTCTTATAGGTAACTACTTGCTTACAATCATGAGTCAATCTGAATCATCGGGGTAAAAAAGATAAATGATAACATGTTCAGGTATATGTAATCTCTATCAGTTTGGCATATACATGCATATGTTGCATATGTTGCATATACATCAATTTTTGATGGATTCTATCTAACACCCGCATGTATTCTTTTAATAAACAGTGTTACTTATACTATTTACTTAAATGCCATTTATGTTGAAATTCAGTTTGTGATAACTTTTGAGTAAAAATAAATCAATTTGTGTTAAGTGATTTGATCAGTCATTGTAAATTGTGTAATGCAATAATAACTAAATAACTAAATATGAAATATATATATATATATATATTTTTTCATGAAAGAAGCATCGTAAAAAAAAAATTATTTCTTAACAAATAGTAACAAATTTATTTTTTGAGTATTTTGCTATTTTTTTTCATGGAAGGATTTGTCGTGAAGCGTTAAAAGAATAATTCTCCATTTTTTATGAACATATCATGATTTTTCATCGTTTAACTGGAGAAAAATTTCAAACGATTTGCATATTATTTGTAGAGTTCATATACTTTACATGTCAAGGACAACTCTAATAAGAATAGAATAATGATTGATGTTGTGTCATTTATCATGTTGTTTATTACTATGGTCATAGATAATTGTAACAAGAATTGTTGTTCTTCTAAACTAAAGTATTACTTCTAGGAAAAGATAAGTTGCAACGAATTTCTGTGAAATCCTGGAGAACTTTAAGAATTTTAGCTAAGAATTTCTTAATTATTTTTGCGCAAGATACTCGATTAAAAGTATATTAAAGCATTCGATCATGTTATTTATCATGAAAAAGATAAAATTTAAACAAAGATAAGGTGATTTGTAATTACAAGTTGAATGATATGATAAATATCTCTGTAATTAGTAACATTTTCAAATGAGATCACCATTTCCGGCATAGAATGTAGAGAACGAATATCCGTATTACTAGAGAATTAATCCTCTCACTGGATTCTAACGATGTGCTGCAATAACCGTGAAACTTAAAAAGAAGTTATTTTATGTGGATATGTAAGTACACAATGTATATAACTTTATGCATAGTAATTCATGTTTCAATTCATGTAGAATTTCAAAATTTCATTATTATTATAATAACTATAAATATAATTATTAAATCTTTTATTTTAAATAAAAAGAAACTTCTCGTAATCGGTCGGGAATATATATTTTAGGTAAAGAAAGAATTAATTTTTGACTTTTTCATAAAGTACTGTATTTTTGATACATAATCAAACACAGAATCAAAATTACAGGTATCCTGTAATTAATACTTCATTGACTATATTTGTTAGGAATGAAAAGATTAAAATTACGAAAATTATCAATCGATCAGGTGACATAGATCGTTATATTTATTTAATTGAAGTTACCAAGTTACATACAACGTATCAACTTGGTAACTTCTTTATCAAATAATTCGAATCGTAATCGCTAGAATATCTTCTCGATATTTTTTTGAAACATGCTTCCGGAAACAACTTTTACTTAATTGTAGTTGAATGATAATATATATCTATACTTCTGAAATTTTTAAATAAAAATTTCTCTCTCAGAGAAAGAAAAGAAACTAGTAAAATTGATAATATAAAACCTATGTAGCAATATATACAATGTGTTAAATGTGTTGGCAGAGAAGTGTTTGCGATTAGTTTTTCTGGCTTTCAATCCAACTAGTCAATAAGGAAAATGTATCATTGTGAGTATAACAGGTTTTCCCCATTTTACGACTTTGTTATCAAAGAAGTTAATTATTCATATTCAAAGTGGGTCTCACGCAATTATGACAAACTTAAAATATATGTAAATTGTATGTTTTCAAGGAGACTAAATAAAGAGATTAATCTCTACAGTCAGTCACAGCGTACATTTATTTTACGTTCTTCGAATTTAAAATACTACAACTTAAAATCATATTTTTATGATTGGTAGCATACTATAGTAGTGTTATAGTACGAGTACTATAGTATATACGAAGGCGAAATTACTGTTGGGATATTCATAATAGTAGTTGTTTGAGAAAAACAAGAAAAAATTCAAAATTTAAAAGTAAATTTCATGGGAAAGATGGTGTGATACAATTTTATTTCTTTACTATATTAAATTTTAGAACAAAATATAAAAGTAGAAGTGAGAAATACATATTCGTTGCATTGCTCGATAAAAATAGCGAAATGGAAGAAAATTGAAACATTAACGGAAATGGGGTTAAATCATGTTCAAAAGAGATTAAAAGGACTAAAATCATCATTCAAGAGTAATTAAGGTAAATTTTTTTAATTTTTATTTTTTACTATATTAGGAAATCCTACTATTCTTTTATTCTATTTTTCTTTTTTTGTTAATTTTTCATGAAAAATTTATAGTTTTCTAATATGTACTTAAGTACTCGCAGTCCTCTGGTGGCAGCATTGATAAGCTTTGTTATGAGGTTTGGACTGCACAGTTTACTATACGGTTTAAGTTAGGTTGTTGTTAAATTAGTGTCGGTTTTAAGAGTTGTGTCGGCTTTTGTTTAAATATGGATATGGTTTCAAATCAGGATAATAACGAGGGCCAAATTCAAACAATCCTTGAGATGCTTAAAAAGCAAATAGATCAATACGATACTACGGAAAGAGATCCGAAATCGAAAGCTGAATTAACAAGGGATCAAAGGATCCAAAAGTTAATGATGGAAGAGAAACAATTATCAGCACAGTTTGGACAGATTAAAAAGGAATTGAAACGTTATGAGAGGAAATATGAAAAGACGTTGAAGAAAAAAGTGAAGTTGATGAAAATGCAGATTGCAGAGAATAAACACAAGTTGGAAATAACGAAACAAAAATATTTCGAGTTAGACACACAATTAGTCCCTCTTAAGTTGAAGAGAGCCGAAAAAAAGTCAAACCAAACGAAATCAAACCGAACGAAAACAATCTTAAAAGTAAAGACGATGCCGCCTAAATTTAAGCAAAAGGATATAACACCTAACAAAAAGATTAAAATTAAAATTAAAAATAACGTAAAATTAGATAAACGTGAGATGCATTTCGTTAACGATGTTAATGGGGAAAGTGCATTTAAAAATTTAGCGAGAACAACTCCTTTAGTGGAACCCTTAGCTGTAAATATTCGAGAATGCAAAATTATGTTGCAAAGATTAACGGAAAAACAGATGAACAAGCATGTTGACCAGAAGAGGTTAGATCACTCGCAAATAGGAAAAAGGCGTATAACACGCGATTCTTCGCAAAAAATCAACGAAGTAAATACCATTCTCCCAAATTGGCAAATAAAAATTCCAAAATCAGTATTCGAAGAAAGTCAGAAAGAAAATAAAAAATATGATTTGAATATGGCTTGTACTTCGAAAGATGTCATTTAATTAAATCGACATAGTTGACTTATTAATAGTGTTTAGATTATATTTTAATTTTGTATGTGACATTGTTTGCTTAAACTTTTGTTATTATAACGAACAAATGAAAAACTAATTTTGACGAGATATGCTATGAAAAATGCATATATATGTAAAATTTTAGGATGTGATATTAATTTTACAGTAATAGTAATATATAGCAGAGTTATATAAGCTATATTTTCTTAAAGTATATAACTAATGATTAAAAGAAGAAAAGTAATCAAATTTTAACATTATTCTTTCTTATTTCATGTGTTGTTTTTAGAATGAACATAATCATAATTGGTAAATGATTATGATAGAAATTAAATGTGTTAATTTTTCATTGAAACATCTTTAAAATATAACTATAGAATGTTACTCATAAAGTAACGTTTGGCTATTGCATTATTAACTATTAAAAGTTTAAAATTTTAAAAATTTCATTTTACATAATTTGTTTTCATCTTATTTTATGAACTTTTAGTTAAGAATTGATAAAAAAAGTGTTATCTTCTTTTATATTTTCAAATTTTCTTCTTCATATAATACTTTTATTTAAAAATTTCATAATAATTTTATGTATTCATTTTATTTTAAACTAGAGTTTTAACTTCTACTTTAAGTGAAAGATGATTATACATATTTGCTTGTATAATAACTCTACTATGTTAAATAACATATAAATAAAGTTATTTTTGGTCTAACAAGATTATAACATGTTTGTGTAAAACTTATATGTATAAAATATCTTATGCTAGCATAAAAAATTATTTCCAAGAATATCTTAATATGTGAAAAATATATGTAATAATATCTTATAATAATAACATATATTATATCTTATAATAATAACATATATTATACATTCAGAAAAATGGTTCATTATATAGATGCTTATGTTTATTATTTTATTGTGAACAAGTAATTTCCAAATATTAAAAACAGATTAAGATTTCTGTATATATATTTATATATTTACTTTTAACTTTTATATATATTTACTTTTAACTTTTAATGCTATTATTTTGCCACAATCATTTTAAAATTAAACTGCATGAAACTGCAGTGTTAAGTAGAGGAGATTTTATGCACATCAATCAAGGATATTAAATTTTAACAAGAAATTATTTCATATAGTTTGATATTGAACCTTTTCTGTTAATCAAGTTTTTGTTCCATATAAATTATAGTGATATAGTTAACAATACAGTTATTAATTACTATGTACAAACAGTATTACAAAGGATATAGGAATCAATTCTTTTCCATTTGATAAATGATCTAGAGGAAGTTAATATTTGAATTTGAAATAATGTTTTTGATAATCTTATTTCTGTGATTGTATTTTGAGTGCATTTTACTGATATTTGATAATTTGTTGTGCAGTTTGATAAATATGTGAAAAATAATGTGTATAAGATAAATTAATTTTAATCCAGTTAAAGCGATCCATGTAATATGTGAGATTTATCATGTTAATTTGAAGTAATAAAAAATTTAATGTTTCTTATCATGAATGCACTTTTAGAACATTTGTCTGAACTAGGAGGAAAAAAGAGAAATATTACTTGATTAGAATTTTTCAAATTTTTCGTATGATGAAAAGGACTTTCAAATGAATGCAGAACATTTCTTATTGATGAATCTATTATATTTAAATAATTGCCGTACACTGGTACTATTCATTTCTACAAGTTACACAATGATATTAAACGAAATATATACTAATAAATTATTATTAAACGAAACTGTACAATGATGTTTCGCCGTGCTAGTGTTTAGAATGATTACAATTATTTTATTTCCGCGAATAGGCAAAAAAGGAAAAGTTCGATTTCGAGATCGTGAATTCAATTACTGCGTCGAACATACGCTGTTACAACGAAATAATGTATTCCAAAACATTTATAGAAAAATACTCGATCTAGTAGAATGATAGTTCGTTATTGTCGTAAAAAAAAATAGTGAATGAGAAGTTGTTTCAATGAAGTTTAGAAACTAGCATAATTATGTGAAAAGAATACATATAGTGTAAATCGACGATAAATGAAAATGTACTAAAAAACGTATATAACGATATATATACTGTAGAAAACATTGTTA